CAGCAACCATCCGTGCCACTCTTCGACATGCGGGAGACCGGGGATGGGAGTGCGCAAGCATCGATGTGCGGACGGCCTTCCTGTTAGCTCCTCGTCGAGGCACTGGTCTACTGGCAGTTCGACCACCAAAAATCTTGGTTTCTGCCAACATCTGCTCATCTAACGAGATGTGGTTGGTAGACCGAGCTCTATACGGACTACAGTCGAGTCCCAGTGACTGGGGCGCCTTTCGAGATGGGGAGATGAACCACTGGACTTGGTCAAAGGGGAATCGAAGCTTTCGGCTGGAAGGTACCCGGGAGCCTAACCTTTGGAGAATCAAGGAGAAGCTGGCAGGGGACACCGAGAAGACGGTAGGTCACATCTTGGTCTACGTTGACGACATGCTTGTCACCGGGGAGACCGAGGTGATTGCGGCCTATCTGGACCATGTGAAAGGAATTTGGCAGTGCTCACCACCCGAATGGACATCAAGGGACGGGCCGGCAGTCAAATTCTGCGGCTTTGAGCTCAAGGAGGGGTCCAATGGATCCATCCAAGTCAGCCAAGAAGCCTATGCGAAAGAACTGGTGAAAAGGTATGGGTGCACCAAGACACGCCCTGTGCCTATGTCGCCAACTATGGCATCCAACATCCCTGAAGAAAAGGACTCTGAGTTGGACCCGAAGTTAGTACGCCAGGCCCAGGCCATCACGGGCGAAATCCTCTGGTTGGCACTGAGAACTCGACCAGACCTTGCTTTTGCTGTGGGGGTTATGGGACGGCATTCCACAAAAAAACCAGGCTTTGTATGCCAACTTGGGAAGGAGGTCGTGGAGTACATCAACGGTTCCACGGGTACAGCTTTGGAGTACGGTCGGTGTGATCCGACGGATCGAGGACCTGATGATGGTCTTCCTTTTCCTCGATCAATGAGAAGGTTGGAAGCCTATGCGGATGTCAGCTTCGCGCCTCAAGCTTCAAGATCTATCCAAGGAGTACTTGTACTCTACGGTGGCTCTCCGATCATGTGGGAATCAAGCAGGCAGAGCTGCATTACCTTGAGCACCGCAGAAGCTGAACTCCTATCGTATGTGGAGGCGATGGGCATGGCTGATTCGATGGGGTGCATCCTTGAGGCCTTGGAAGAAGTGCCTTGTCAACTCACTGTAGTCGAGTCCGATGATGAAGGAGCGTCTGAGGAGCTCTACATCCGGGAGAAGATCAAGGTTCCGGAGGGCGAGTTCATAGAAGGAGCGATGGGGATCCAACGAGTCATCTATGGCGACAACACTGCGGCCATTTCGGTAGCGAGTGCTCCGGAGGGGGGAGCTTGGAGGTCACGCCATTTGAGGCTGAGGAGTCATTTCCTACGAGGACGTCTTCGACATCGACAGTGGTGGTCAATTCGACATTTACCAGGTTCTCTGTTGGTGGCTGATTTCCTCACCAAGGCCATCAGTGCGAAGCAGCGTTGGACCTATTTCTTCAAGTTCCTCAACGTGGTCACTACAGCAGCAGCGCAGTTCTCTGAGGAGTTCGAGGAGCAGGAGACTCAGGTGAAGGCCCTTAAGCTCAACCACGAGATTATCAAGATTGCGGCGGCCAGTTTGGGCTTTATGGCAACAAAGACCATGCAGCCAGGACAACCTGGGTCGTATGATGAAAAAACCAAAACTCTTGTGTTGCTGTGGTTGTGGGTATACCTGAAGAAACGGGTAGAGGGTCTAAAACAACAGGGTCTGTTGCCGATGAACCCCGAACAATGGAAACAGGAACTTGAAAAACCAGGTTCTACTCTCAAGGCGCTGAGGATCAGTGAGCGAGCTTTGTCCCATGACTCTGACGAGAAGGACTTTCGGTCTAAGTTGTCGAGTTCGGAAGCTGTGCAACTGGCTCACGATCTACTTCTGGAACTGCCTGCTGAAGAACGAGAAGGTGGTTTATCTGACCGAGATTTGAAGGATGAGAAGTACGTGGAGGAAGAAGCGATGATCCGTGTTCGAGCTCTACGTCTACATCCTGATCAAGACCTACGGCCTGGTGATGAATTTGCTCTACCGGCTGATGACGCGCTGTGGGATAATCTCGGACTATGTCCTGTTCTTTGTCAACCTCGAGGTGTCCCTGGGGGGTCGCCACTTTTTCCTGAAAGAGCTCTACATTCCGAAGGAGCTCTACATCCTGGAGGAGACCTACACGATGGTGGTTCTCTTCGATTTTTGGTTTCAAGGGATGATCGAAAGGGGTCGTCTCTACATCTTGGAGGAGACCTACGTGATTGTGGTCCTCTTCGGCGTCGACCGTCGGTGGACGATCGATGGAGTTCGTCTCTACGTCCTGGAGGAGGTCTATGTGATGGTGGTCTGCCTCAACCTTTTGATTTTTCACCAGGGAGCCGACATGGGTCGTCTCTACTTCCTGAAGGAGCTCTACTTCCTGAAGGAGCTCTACTACATGAGTCAACTGGTCGTCATTTTGACGAATTTGGAGGTGGTATGGACGTCAGTGGATCGCTCACGGGGCCCTGGATGCTGGAGGAGGAGAATGGTCAGAATGGTCGTCAAGGGGCCCAATCTTCGATTTCTTCGTCTTCAAGTTTGGGACTACATCCGGGAGAAGATCTACATGGGCGACTCACGCCTTGCACTTCCTTTGAAAGCGGGTCTTTGAATTTGAGCACGCAGTTGTGCACTCATGCATTCTGCGTGGTTAACCTGGAGCATCCAGGTCTGAATTCAGATGAAACTCTGGACGAATGGAAGAAACATGGAACCCCAAGAGTGATTCATTCTCCTGAAAGGGTCATTGAGTTTTCCGAAAGAGTTAGAAGTTCTTCCGTTCCAACTGAGGTTCGAGGTAGCTATGGGGTTTCCATAGACGGTGGGAGGGAGAAAGTGAATTCTCCTAGGGTGAGTCAGCAGATGCTGAAGGCAGCACCTTCGTCCTCTCACTGTTCAATGGTTCAACGTAGTTGCACACCTCCGCAGGTGGCTGTCCAAGGTAGTCTGACTGTAGCCGTGCACGGTGGGGGGGAGAAAAAACTTTCTCCTAGTGTGAACCAAAAGATGCTGAAGGCGACTTTTTCGCCCCCTCACTGGTCAATGGCCGTAGCCTTGGTAGCAGTAGCTATTTTCCCCAGTAGAGTAGCCGCTCAACCGAGCGAAGATGATGGCTTCGGCGCTGATGGAACCTTCCTGCTGCTGGCCTATGGATTGGCGATGGCGATCCTGGGAGCTCTGATCGCAAGATGGCTGACGCCTATCACCGTGGTGGCTGCTCCTTTGAGGTCTTCTTCGTCTTCAAGGTCAACGAGAACTTCGAGACGGTCGAGGTCTTCGAGGCGGTCGAGGTCTTCCAGGCGATCGAGATCTTCCAGACGGTCGAGATCTTCCAGGAGGTCGAGAACTTCCAGGTCTAGGTCACCTTCGGACCATCCTCCTACAACAGAAACCAGGGGAGATTCACCAGATGAACTACGTGGAGTTTGGGCACCATGGCCTCCTGCTCCTGGAAATGCACCACGTGACGGTGAAAGCACAGAGAATGAATCCTTGCCTGGGAAAGGAAAAGGAAAAGATGGAAAGGGACGTTTGGCTGCCTTCAATGACTTGGGCATCTACCGTACTGGCCTTGCAGTGCGGCGAAGACAGCCCTCGAGGGCCACTACGTCTGATGCTGGCGAACAAACGCCAGATGGTGAACCAACGGAGTTTCAAGGAGAAACTCAATCTGGTGGTGCTCAACTGAGCCCTGGACCAACTACGCCTACCACGCCCGGGACGGATGACACTGAGGTGTCTGGAAGTGTGAGCGCTGGGGGCACCTATCATCTTCGTGGAGGTGGTCTTCGCCCTCTCTGTCCAGTACCAGAAATTGGAGGTGATATCCCGAAGGTGGCATCACTGGTTAGGCCACCTTTGCCTACCGCGGGCTCACCTGCCACCTTTGCGGCGTCAAGCTCTCAGGGGCCAAACTACAAGGCTCCACCAGCCGCTTTGGGACCACCACCACTTCCCTCGGTATATGTTACTGGATGTGGCACGGTGTACCACCTGAAAAATACATGTGGGAAGTTGAAGTGCGCAAGGCGCATCTTTGAGCGCACGGCCTGCGACCAATGTGGCTCTCTGGCCTTCAATGGGGGCAGAAACATTTGGTTGGTGCACGGCCGTTACCACCTGGAACTTCATGGAAACCTGACGGTTTCAAATACCACCACATGGGCTCCGTACTTTGAATGTGGAGGTGGATGAGATGGAAAAGGTGAACTGAGAGCCGGTTGTCTCAAAGAGACAAGGGGGAGTGCGGTTACATTACAAATTTGTGACCCTGTCGCACTCAGGTTTTGCAAAGCTTTGCCTGGCCAATGCGTTGGCTCAAGGCGACTCAAACTGAGATTGCCAAGGAAAACAACGAGGTGTCATTGGGACGCGACTTTAGTTGTTGGAGCCCATAACCTTGGGACGCAACTTTAGTTGTTGGAACCCATATCCACCTGGTTTGTAGCCTCCCGTATAAAATAATATAAAATAATATAAAATATCTGCAGAGGCGAAATGTCAAAATTACGAGGAAAATACAGTTTGGTGGTACCAGCATGGAACATGGACCACTCAGTGACCACTCCAACCTCCAAAATCCCCGTCCTCGGCGACGTGCACGAGGCCGCTCCGCCGTCGTCCCACCGCGCCGTGCCCGGCCGTGTCCAGGCGGAGCGCCGCGCCGGGCCCCGCGGCGTCGAAGAGCACGGCACAGGCGGTGCCCGAGAAGTGACGCAGCACCGCACGGAGCTCCTACGATCTGCACGGTGTTGAGAAACATAATGTATAAAATGACGAAGGATAACGAAGTAACTAAGTTGTTAAGGGGAAAAGTGGACTGTTTGATTTCAAACTTTGGCCAACTTGACACAAGCACACCGTAATTTTCAGCTGAAGTCGATGCGTTGTTGTCCAATCCATGTCTCACCTGCTTTAGGTTAATACCACCAACTTCAACTGCTCAGGGTCAAATTCGGGTCAAATGACAATCTGACGCTCCTGGAAGTTGAGTTCTTGAGCACTGATCTGCAATTGAACCTGGATATGATGACAATCGCTGCTGAACTTAGCTGAACCGCTTCCAAACGGGTCAACACCACAGATTGCTGAAGCGGAGGTGCCAAATGTTCTGCAGTATCGTTTTTCGTTCAGTTTCGGCCATGGCAAATCCTCTACAGTACACATCCGTCGGATAATAAGTTGATGGACTCTGACCTTTGGAAAATCAAAGCCCTTCGGCCTTCTGACTTCCCCACTCTGCCACAAACTCTATGCCATTGAGATGCTCAACCTGAGCAGAACGGAGGAATTGCCTTGTAGAGTTGCAACTGGCATCAGCTGTTGCTTGCCATTGCTACAGTCAATGTAGCCATGAGCCGGTGGGGTTAGGTGCATGGTAGCATGGTCAGAATTCACGTCACTTTCCTTTGGGAAACATTGGCTCTGTCGATCTACGGATCTACAATCCCGGGCCAATCCCGGAATCCTCGGAGGTTTTCGAGTTTTGGGAAAGTAAAAAGGTTGGGAAAGCTGGGAGACCTGCCACTTGAACTGAGCTGCACGCCTTCCAGCATTGGTTTGTGGCAAGGTGGCGCCGCAGAGCTGTGAGGTCCTTGGCTTTGTCCGGCTGAGCAGAGAAGTCCGTAGCCTATGTGTGGAGATAAGTTGAATCTTCAAGGGAAGAGGCGGGAAGAGGAATCATGTCGCGTTTTCAGGGACGCTCATTCCAGCCGGTCCATCATGGTTCTCCATCACTCAGTTACTCAGCTTTAAAGCCAACTCTTCGAGGATGAGGCAGCCGCGAGCCGTTGAACGGTTGAACAAGTGGAGATTTTGGACTGAAAAAAAGAGCCTGTGCTTCCTTAAAAGCCTCTTCCCAAAGGTTCCATCCCATGTCTCTAGAGTTGCAGCTGTTACAACATGTTACAACCCTCAGCCCACTGGTCCAAACTGGTCCAAGTGTCCATGCTGCCGTATTTCAACTGCATCATGTCATCCAACACCGTCATCACCGCCCACTGCAGCGCTTCGTCAAAGTCGGAGTCCGCTCCAGGAGCTTCCGAAAAGGCGCAGCGAAAAGGCGCTGCCAGCGTCGCTTCTTTCGCTACCTGGAGAGGCGATGCGAAAATGTCGATGTTTCCAGTTTCCCAGCGGATCAACAAATCGGAAAATGGATCAACCTGTGTGAAGCTCTTAAAATCTGAACACTATTGATGCAGTCAAGGTTCAACAAACAAAATCTGATCAACACTATTGATCTGGCATTTGTTCAATTTCTTCAAGCAGTCAAGTACCCAAAAATGCTCCGGGCTAACGTCAAGCGAAATTTGGGGTCATGTTCTGCCTCGGCTTTTGATGCTTGAAGTGCTGGCAGCGGTCCAGCCGATCCACCTGCAGCCATTGACCCATTCAGCAAAGACAACATCAAGTAGTTTCAGTCTGAACACATGCTGAAGTACACGCAAATGCTGAACATAGCTACATAACCAAAATGGCTCTTGTGCCATTTGAATTCAGTACACAATTCACAACACAACAGCTCAATCAGAAAAAGAATCAAAGATCATTGAAGACGGTAATGAAACCAATTGCCTGGTCGTGGGCGCTCTGGAAATGGCAGCCTCGGAGCACAGCATGGGACACCAACTCAAAAACTCTTCACCTGGCAACACATACCAACAGAATTTGGATCATAAGTAATCATGAGGTACAATTGCTAAGCTTAAAAGCAGCTGAAAAGAAACTGAACCATGTATATTATGTATTTGCATGCATTTGCCATGCAACTTTCAGAGGACATCGGAGTATCGTCCTCTCTTTGTCTCCCACAGGAGGTATCACCGTGGCCATGGCCATCCTGGTGATCTCTGATCTCTTCTCTCTGGGCTTCAAGCGCCAAGCCGTTCCGAGTGTCCTGGGCCGCGTGGGCCAAAGAAACTCCATTGGAAAATCCATCATTTCTATTGGAAAAATTATTGGAGTGGCAGCCTGAAAGATGTAGGTGGTGTACCCAGCTCAACTTTGGACGCTTTACGATATTCCGAATATTCCCTGATCTTTGCTACGTACATCAATGTGACCCAGGCAATTTCACTGCCTGAGCTGTGGAGGGATGGGGTTGAGGAGTGCCTGCAGCTGGGCCGCAGTCGAATGATCTGACAAGATCTGACGGTCCAAAGAAGTGGTCCAAAGAAGTCCAGAGTCAACCGGCCGCCTGTGGCAGTGTCAGTTTGGAAGGTGTGGCTTGGCGTAGTGCGACTGGGGGGACTGAACCTCAGCATTTCAATGATTGATCCTTCACTTATGCACTGTCTCCTTCTGTCTCTTGGATATGGGCAATGTGATATGGCTCGAAATTTCAGGCCTGCAAAAAAAAGATGGATCAATGGATTGGTGACTTTTTTTACAAACTGGGGAACGGGGTACCTCCTTCGAGGGCACTTCTTTTCCACTTCCGGTGATCGACTCAGCATCTCACGCAGGTGAAATGCCTGGCCGCAGTACATGTTGGCTCTGGGATGGGTTTGACCCAGGGCATCATCTGTACATGTGAACATGTTACACATACAATTGCATACATCCATATGTACAGTACAGTATAGTACATATATCTACATGCATACCACTCTATAGTGTATATTTACTATTATTCAAATTAATGTACATGTTATTTTCATTGACTTAGACAGTTACCCAGCCATACCCAGCCACCGTCAGGAGATGGCACCTTGAAGTTGGTGAAGCCTGGAACAAGGGGAACAAGGGCACCCGCAACGGCCCCCAACGCAGAGAAGGCACCGTCTGTTTGGCAAAAAAAAAGGGCATCACGGCATCATTCCTTATCCAAAAAAAGTGGCAAGCGATCTCTGAGATAATTCTAGTATGAGGCCTCACCAATGGCCCTTCATCGAAGTTGGATTTGAGCCAGAGTCCTCAACAGCAACAAAACCAAACGGGAAACCAAACGGGCTGGAACACTCTGGTGGCTGAGCCAAAGATCATCGGTGGGAGTTCAAGATCCTCGGTGAGACACAAATGCCGTCCTGTCGAAAGCCGGCGAGATTCTGAAGGGAAGCGCTCCTTGCGTGGACTGCCAAAGAAGCACCACATGAAAATCATGAAATAGTTGGGAAAGGAATCCAAATCTATTGATTCTATTGGGAGGTCAGATCATTTGGGCATTACCAAAAATATATAAACCCCCCAATACCATCCAGCTGTGCGGAAGGCATTGTACCCTCCTCCCACCACCAGTCTTGCCAGCTGGGCCGAGATTGCCACCAGTCCTGCAGAATGTCTGGAATCTGCTGAAACATCATCGAGGTCTGATTTCAAAGGAGTTACACTGGCAGAAATCTGCCAAACAAGCCATCGAAATTTCACATAAACTGACAATGTTGGATGACTTTGAAATTGTTCCAAAGGGGTCCTGCTTCCAAGACCAGCCCCTCCAAGAGCTTTGCGTCCACTCATGACTGGACCACGTCCGATCCGGAGAGCCTATCACGATGAGCCACGTCGCACCATTGCCATGGTGTCATGCTCTAAGTCTGAAACAGTCAACAGCGCAGATTGCGAACATAAAAAGTTGTATCATATTATTATACATTACATAGGTTTTCCATGTCTTCCCGTGAAAGCATGGCAACGAACCATTGTGAACCATCTTGCAATGCCCACTCAATGGCCAACCTTCGGATCGGTCCCACAAAGTCTCCTCCGTCTCCCTGGGTCCAGGCGCCAAAATGGTGCAAACGTAACCGGCGTAGAACCTACAACTGACACGGCAGCGACTAACCCAGGGTGAAGCCTTTGCCGAACTCGCTCCATAGGGCGCACCGGCTCCTGACCATGGGGGATGCTATGGGTCCATGGGCTATGGCTCATGGATGCTATATGGATGCTCATGGGCCACACACGTACCGCTCTCCTCCCACAAAGATGTTGTCTGCCAGATCTGGGGCTCGACTTTCTCGAAATCGTTCTGTCGGATCTGCTCTTTCTCGAAGCTTTGCAAAGTTCCTCGGAGCGTCGGTTGGACCGTCGGCTGGACCTCCGAGACTGTTTCGTCCAATCTGGGCATTTCACGTCCTGCCGGACTGGTGCAAAAAGTCGCCTTCGTTGTGTCTACCTGAGCTCCTGGACCCAGGAGGTCTCGTTTCGCGGCCGATTCCTCTCCTTCCAGTCCTTCAAGTCGTTCTGGAGTGATGCCGTCGGATTGATTGGAGTGGGATTTGGCCGGCGATTGCCTGCTTTGCTCTGCGACTTGTTCTGCAAGTTGCTCTTCTTGCCTCTTTTGCCTCTCATCCCGCTGCTTCTCTAGAGCTCGACGTTCCTCCTTCTGAAGTTCCTCTCGCAACTGCTCTTCCTTCAAGTTTCGAGCAATCACTTCATCTCGTTTCCTCTTCTCTTCCTCGGTTGGGGTTACATCTGGCAAGCAGTATTGAATAGTATTGATATCTTTTCCATCCCACAAAAGCAGTGTCTTCATGGATCGTTATCGCAAAGGGTCTTCCTGCTTTTTCTTCTCCTCTTCAGCTTTTCTTCGCTGCTCTGCTAGCCGTTCTTCCTCCGCCCTTCTACGGGCTTCTTCCTGGGAACCCGAAGTATTACCGCATGACAAAACAGTCCATATCCAGTGAGGACGACATCTCGTTCAGCAAAGGATTGACAACTCACACCTTGACTACCAATCAGCTGATACCAGTTCCACTTGGCACAAAGGACTTCAAAATCCGGGCTAGCTTGTTGCCAAATGCCAACTTCAGGAACTCTTGTAATTTCCATGAAACCACATGGGCCACCAGGAATCGAATCTACCTTCCGTGCCTCCTCAAGTTTCTTCTTTCGTTCCGCTGCAAGTCTTCGATTTGCCTTGCAACTTCAAGGTCCAATGCAATGGAATGTTCTCACACTGATAACTGATAACTGTCAAACATGTTCAAACTAAAAAATGATAGGTTTAAAAATGGATCCGAAGTGATTGGAATTCGTGGTTGTATGTTTGCTGTGTGTTTTCAACGTCATGGTCCGTTTGAGACACTATGGCGCCTCCTCAATTTGCTGCTGCTTCCGCTCGGCCTCCGCCGCTTCTAACTCCTTCTGCTTTCGTTCCTGTCATCAAGGCTGAGGAGAGAGCCCTGCGACCAACGATTTGTTGCGCTTCATCCAGCTGCAGCTAACATCAGCTAACTATAGCTAACTATAGCTAACTCATGTCTGGTCAGAAGTTGACAGCACTTTGGCTGCCTGTCAAAGTTGGGTGCCCCAATAAAAACATCCAAACCTTGCCAAAAATAGCCAGTGACTCCATAGACTGAGTGCCAGGAATTATCATCATCGCCCCAAGCCCATGCTCTGAACCCAGAATTGTCCCTGTGGATTCCCTTCTTTTCGAAAGCCTCTTCTTCCTTTTGCAGCCTCTCAAACTCCTCTTCTTTTCGCTTTGCTTCTGGATCGTAGAAGGAGTTGGATGCCTGCACTGAGGATGAAATGGATCAAAAGACACAGCCATTGTGATTGGCTTCACCATCAAAGCATCGAAGCAGTCCAACTTGGCTATTGCCAACGTTGGCCTTTGGGGTATGTCTCAAACATCCACATTCCTCCTATCCATTGATTTCCCAGAGCATTTTCTGTATCTCTGGGGTCCAAAATGGTCACAAAATGCTGTCCTGACCTCGCTGGCATCCTCTCCGCTGGGCATTTCCTCCAGCGGATATCCAGCTTTGCCGTGGGATATGGAGCAGCGGTGCGCCATGTGATGTGCCGCTGATTGACTTGGCGTCACTTGCTTGAAAACCATATATATATATGGTAGAAGCAAATAAGCCCAAAAATGAATTCCACAAATTGCGATCCCTCTTCCTCCGAGATGTCATCGAATGAAGCATCTGATACCTGCATCATCAGATGCAACGACATACAATTGGTAGGACCCCCTGGCGGCTACGTGAGCTGTACAAAAATGTCGGCTATGATTCTTACCTCTTGGTTGGGGAACTGCAGATTGATTCCAAACTGGTACAAGGATTGCAGGCCTTCCGCAACACAGCAGTCCTTTGTGCATCAGCCTCGCATTCGGGACGCTAAGCCGCTAGGTCGTTAATCACAGCGAGTTGGTTGCCGATTTTAGCACCTCGAACTTCAAAAGCTCTGACAGGATGTTATCATATGGACAGTTTTCAACCAATGATGGAGCACCTCTTGCCGTCTTGCAATCTCTTTGCGCCTGCACAAGTTCGTATCCACCAAGCTGGACCCAGGTCAAAATTGCAGAGTGGATCGTTTCAAGCAGGTCGTCTCCCCAAAATATCTCCTGTTTTTGTGTTTTGTTCTCTACCAACGGTCGGTGAACGGCCAGTCTCCCGTGGCACCTCTCTTGGCGCCTAAGGACTCGTTGCTAATCTTTCTCAAGCGAAACGAAACGTTGCTCCAGTAGTCGAATCTGGCAAAAAGACAAAATCTCCCGGGATGTTTTCCCACTCAGATGCCCTGCTGAGCTTCGAGGCTCACCTGCACCAGGGGTACACAAACCTTTTGGTTTCCCTAAGATAACATGATAACGCACCAGTCTGGGTAGCTTCTCCGAATGTCATTTGTTGTTCACCCATTCGTTGGTTAGATACCACTATGGCTGACTATGGCTGACTATGGCTGACTATGGCTATGGATCAAGACTTAGGGCTCCGGGTCTGACAACGGTCTGCCATTATGCCATCAATCCTCCAATCGCCTCAGGTGTTTTGTCCACATCTTCTGAGATGCTCAGATCCTGGTGGTTCACCCAAGCACTGCAAGAGAAGAACATATCAAGCACTGCATAGCCTGCATAGCCTGCATAGCCTTCATAGCCTTCATAGCCTTCGTTGTTTGTTTTGTTTGTGTCTCATTTGCAGGTGAATAGTCCGTCGTTGTTGATATCCCCCATCTTATCCATCTTCACATGTGTAGATATCATGTGCTGTCAACTGCTGTCACATGAATGTTGCGGATGATCCCACCACTGTCTCAAGATCTGCCGGCATCACACGATTGGAGATGGGCCCTGCCTGCGCAGAAGCTGATGCAGAAGCCCCCCTTAGCTGCCAGCTGCCATCTGTTGGCTGCAACTGGACACAGAAAGATGGATCTTTTAGATCAAAAATAACGACTTAGAATACATATGTGGTGTATACATACAGTACATATAATAATACAGAATATATAATGAATATAATGATATTATGTGTTAATAAAACCGTTGTATTCAGTCTGCTCCATCGAGGCAACACATCACTCTTCACTGAAAGCGATGCTCTGAGGAGCCCACTGCGCCGCTTCATCCAGCAAGGCCTGCCGAATCGGCCGAAGAGCGAAGAGTAACTGGCGTAGAGTCAGTAGAGTCAGTGAAGTCAGTGGAGTCAAAATCACCGAAAAGTGAGAAATGTGCAGAAACTCAGATCAGAAAACCACGAAACCAACTGCTTCCTGACAAATTAGGTGGAACAATGGAACTAGTCTGTATTGGGAGGAGCCGCCTCAGACTTGGATGTCACCGTAGCATCAAATTCTTCGGTGTAGCTAAAGCTGCCACTCTCTGCGCTCGCTACGCTTTCAGCCACGTCCTGGTGAGCAAATCTCACAGTGAGTAGTGCGACACGTTTGTTGGTTGAATATGTTGAATGTCAGAATAGGCTAGTGAGGAGCAGAGTAAGCAAAGAAAAATGAGAAAATGTAGATGTTGGCTACGGTGGCCTATTGGCTTTTGGTGGCAAGCTACCAACACAATTGGATGCCAGGATGTTAGCCGTCCGCCGCCGCTGGACCCGTGATGAACCTGTGTCCCGACTCTGGTGTGATATCGTGTAATCCTGTACACACAACCCTATCACCCCGAATCCCTTCCCTGTGATATTAAACACACCCAAAATGGTGCCAAATCGATCCAAATCTATCCGAATCCCCTCCTAAACATAGCTAAACCATGGTTCTGGGGGTGTTTAAATGTGTTTAACATTACGGCGTAACGGGAGTTCTAGGGGCAAGATGGGGCAAGGGAGTCGTCAATGATCTCACCGCGCCTCTGCCTCGCTCCTGGAATCAATTGTGTAAAAGGAGTCCCCAGAGCTCCCAGAGCAAAACCTACGTGCAGAGCTGCTGCAGGTGACGTCGTCCTCTCGCTGTTGGAGCCTCGGGAAAGGACCCACTTGGACGGTTGAACCGAAGGGTGTGTCACGGCAGAAACAACAAGAAAAACATTGACCAGATTTGACCAGCAAGTCAGTGAATCGATATTTGAACAGGAGCAATCCGATCCAAATCTGCCTGCTCGGCAAAATCGCAGTGATCGCTTTCAATGGAGAGATTTTCATATGCGGATCTCATGAGCAATCATGGCGAGTACCCAAGAATTCCGAAAATAACATGGCTTGATTGCTCTGACCCTGCCCAGTACCAACCCAACCATTTCATCAAGACACCAGTTTCATCGAAGTTCTCAGAGTAATCATCCCCAGCCTGCAGTAATGGTTTACTGTACTGAATTTCTGACACCCTCAACAGGACTCCCGCGAAGGTAGGTTCTATGCACTTGAATTGGTGATCATGAGAGAAGAGTTCTTGGATCTTTAGGCGTTTATGGGTTTCGCTTTACGTGTTCGCGTGACATTGTGTGAAGTTTCACAGTTCCAAACACCTGCAGCGCAAGCGATTTCATCCCTGTACAGAGCCTCGCTGCCAGGGCTCAAATCCTGACGACGCAGTTTCAGTCATCCGCTGCACCTAGGGTTACCCTGTTACCAGCACTATAGAAACACCATACAACTTGCAGCGCACCTCAGAATGGGAGCCATCTGGTGCCTCGGGCATTTGAAGTTGCTGGTGTCCTCTTGGTACATTCGGTCCCGCACTCGTTGGTTCGAGAAAACTTAGCAAATTCTTCCCTCTTCGCACTTCCTTCGCTCACAAGTTTCCAACATGCCAAACCTCCTGGCGCCACTAGGCACCCCTACGATGCCAATCGATCCCGTCCTGGCGGTGATTTCTGTGGTCCCCTTCCTCTCAAAGCAAAGGCTATAAACTTTGACTTTGTTTGACTTGCACCCTCTTGTGAACAATAGAGACAATAGGAAAGAAAAAAGATCAAGGCACACGATGTACATGGAGTGTCGTGCATATGGAGACCACAATTCTTCTGTCCCATGGCTGCTAGGAATAGAAAGACCAGGAGTCAGCCAAGTTCTATGATATGTCATGTCGAATTAGAAATTTACATCGATATCAGTCAATGGCCTCACAAAGGCCACAGCCAAACCCAACATTGCACTTTTTGCTCAATGCCAAAGGCAAGTCTAGCCGCTCAGCCAAATCCTGCACAGCGAAATCAATTGCCTGTCTGCCAAGTGCATATCATAGGACCCACACCACATGAGACCACTTGAGCCCTATCTTGCTCAAGGAATCAAAGAATGTCAAGAATCTGTACCTGAAGGAGCTGCCCTTCATGTCCTGGCCTTTTGGATGTCGAGATCGAGTTTGCAGCTGTTCCACAGCATCCATAGCAGCGCTGTGACCCGATTCCGCTGCCAACTGGAGCATTTCAATGGCAGCATCTTCGTTGTATCCTTAGGATCCAACTATCAAATGGAAACCTGTCTCCTTTGTGGCAAAAGAAAACTGGTATAAACGAATGGAAATGAACTGGTATCTCAATTCGTCACAGCGCCAGAAAAAGACTGATGCTTAGACGGTCCACAGGGTGCCGGTGCACCGATCCCCACCTTAAGTCAAGGATCCAGTCTCTGGGTCTCCATGTAAGAAGCACATCCCCATCCGGTACAAGGCCTCGTCAAGTGGTTTTGCATCCATGAACCGAGAGGTTTTGTTTCCACATACGAAACATCAGAAAAAACAACGTGTGGCGACCGGCTGTGAACCCAGCCTCTGGGTGGCCTCTCCCAGCAAGCTTGCCCCACTGGGTCACTTCGCTCTCACCGTAAGCCAAGCGTCTGCTCGTCACCAAATGTTCCCAGGCCTGCCAAATAATGCACGGAATGCACGAAGCAAAGCAAATCCGTGCCAGAAGATTATCATCTCTGGCGACTAAAGTCAGCAAATGCCACTCATTGACTCATCACTCATGATTCTAACCCCAAAAAAGTAAAAATAAAAGATCCTAACAGTCCTAACGAGTCGATATCTTCAACAAACGGTGCTTTCCGGTGCCTTCCGTGCCTCCTGTCCTTCCCGCCTTGGGGTCGCCCACAACAGCAGCCTCGAAGAGCTTCGCAGCCTCCTCGAAGTCGCCAGTCGCGAAGCTCAACAGCCCCAGCTCGGTGAACCCGGGGAAGAAACCCCTGAAACGAAAAAAACAAAGAAACGAAAGAAGAAAGAATAAACGAGAATGACCACAGCAAAACATGAAAAAAACACTGGTCAACACGGCACAACCTGGGACCTGGGACCGCAGTAACAACAGCGCAGAGATGCACAGAGTATTTTGAAGGATTTCTCCTGCTTTTACTGATGATGTGGGTATTGCATGATATTTTTCATAATATTGCCACTTTTGAAAGAGAGCTATTGGAAGCACATGGAACCACCAGATTCAGCTGCAAAAAGCCTGGCCTGTCTGCGCTCCGACGAAACCACTTTGCAGCTTCTTCAAGGTCTTCAGCAACACTCACGCCCCGCCTGCACTGGGAGGCACCGGGAGGCACTGGGAGGCAAGCCGAAACGAATGACTCCTGGATTTCATATGATTTCATATGATTTCATATGATTTCATATGATTTCATATGATTTCATATGATTTCATATGATTTCATCATTTCATACGCGAGTGCCATGCATTGCCGTTGTTCATCACAAGTGCAAAAATCACGAGTGCTGCAGCCTGTACATGTCGCCCATATAGAAAGCCGCTTTGGGCTCTTGCGAAGCAGCCAGCTTCCTCAGTCCAGTGTTGCATCTGAACTAAGCTTGTGTAGCTTGCTCCCTTAGCGCAGTTCCAAACAGCTGATTGCCCTTCAAATCTCAATCTTTCCTTCTCACCAAATTCAGCAAGGCACATCCACTCCGCAGCCGTGGGATCATTCTCATCTTGGCACAACCTGGAGTTCCGATCGCATGGCATGAAACCTTATCAAACTACCCACTTCTCTCATCTGTCTTGACACAAATGTATGAAAATGTTGCAAAGCACAGTTGCAACAGCTGGAATTCAGAAACGCCAAGCGATCCAAGCCGCAAATGTATCGCCAGGTTCATCTGAGCAGTGCTGTGACCTTTCTCGGAAGCAGCTCTCAACCACTTCTCCGCAACCTCAACCGGTAAAGGGTCTTAAGAAAAGGCAGAAATACATCAGGACCATTCAGGACCGACAGGATCGATATCAAATTCGCAAGTTTCGAATGTACATAATGTAACTCGAAATCATTGAATGGATTTGAGAGGCCTTACAGTACTACACGCACGACACATTAGCACCAGCCAAATGCTGCCCAGGATGTCATGGTTGTCAAGTCGCCTGGTCATCAGCTTCCAGCAGCGCCAAATTGTTCTGAGCAAAATGGTGGCCCCTCTCTGCAGCACGGCGGTAGAAGTCCTTTGCCTTCTCGAAATCTTTCTCCTAAATCAACTTACAACTTGGCATCAAACCTTCTGCTAGATCAACGTTCTGAATGCACCTGGAGCCAAACTTTACCGTTTTAGACTTGCTTCTCCAACCCACATTGGTGACACCATGATCTGACAAGACAAATGACACAGAGTGATGCTGATGGTGCAACCGGACAGGATGTCGAGATGAAAATGAACTCGGGATCTCCACAACCCACAAGCTGCAATGGCTGCAATGGTCTATGGAGTCTATGCTATGTCTGCTATGTGCCTTGCCATGGACCCCAAGTTCGAACTGGACTCCCAGGTTGTAGAGCGCATCTACCTTGGTTACCAAAATTCAGTGGACATCGCTAGCAGAAAATTTCCACGATCCCGGGAGAGCCCAGCAAATTTACTAACGACCTACCCTCAAGAGCGGCTCTGGATTCGGCCAAGTTGCGGATGTGTCAGAGGATTCTGCCGCCATCGTGTCGTACCACGGGGTGCTGCCATCTTTCACCGAAGCTTCTGAATCTTTGAACCAAAAGATCACACTGTAGCGCTCGCCCTGGACAGGCAGGCTGGGGTGACTCCAAAAGGATTCACTGTCGAATCTTGTAGCAGAGGCACCTCAAAGACGTCCACCCCATGCTGAAGGTTGAAGCTGTGCAACACCACATCTCCCGGAGACAAGTTGCAGAAACGTTCTCGGAAGTTGCAAAGTCGGAAAACTTGGTCTTGTTACTTTTTCTTGTTACAATCTTGTCTTGAGGAATGTAAAAATGCCATCTGCCATTTGGGGTTTATATGCCTCTGATACCTCTCCAAAACAGGTCAAACCTGAGAAACTGTGTGACAGTTGTGACAGTTGTGACAGTCGACAGTGCCAAGCATCTCGACTCTGCACTGGCCTCTGGTTGCAAGTAGAGTCCTTCACAGTGGAGGCACATTGTCTGATAACTTCTCCGGGCTCACCAACTTTCACATGGCCTACCCAATCTATCGCGCACGGATCATTCTTGGTCACATCTTCATCTTCATTGGTGAAATGCACCCATGATTGTTATTGTTATCCAATCTGTCACACTTGGTTGTATGTTCATCTTGCTTTGGGGAGATATCATGCAAACTGCCGAGAAATTAAGAAACTTAGGACATCTTAGAACTTTCATATCTTTCATACTGTTTCATATACTTATAGCTGTTTCATGTTGTTTCATCATGTTTCATCCGTTTCAAACGACCTGGAAACGACCTGGAAACCCAACGAAAATCGGTCGGAGCCTCCTCGAAACTCCTCCGGCTCCGAGATGCCCAGCACGGCGGTGGCATAGGCGTGGCCGTCGTAGTGCACGGCGTGGCTGCGGCGCTCGCCGGGGCGGTACCTGAACGGTGTCAACGTGTGGTACCCGAACGATGTGTCACAGTCTTCACAGTCTCACACTTAACCGGTACCGGTGGGATCATCTCTGTTTTATGCTGTAAGAAACTAAACTTGAAGCCTGTCTTCAGCCTGTCTTCCATATCTTCCATAAATTGTGATAAATGATGAATGAAAGATGATTCTCTTGTTCTCTTGTCATATCTGGTCGCAAAAACCTACAAATCAGGATCCGCCTTCGGACCAGGATCTCCGACAGACCGGGTTTAGGAATGTTTTGGAAAACTCCACGCGGAAAACTGGGCTGAAGATCACCCATTTTGTCATCTGATGGACTTACAACTAGCAAGAGTTGCAGGCAAGACTGGCTGAGGACTATCTTTTAGTGCATGATTTCTCCACGGTGGCAAAATGTCGAATCCAAAGGATTTTGGTTCAGTACTATATCATAACAAAAATCAAATTACAATGCACTATTCAGACTATTCAACGTACACTACGACATGGTGTTCCCGCCTGCCATTCACCGCGCGTCACAGGATAGAACTCCCAGCTGGGTGCGAGGTCAACGGAATCGGACACGGTGTCATAGACTTGATCTTTCAGAAACTCTCGGACCGACAGCACCGTCTCTAACGGGCAGAGGTTCCGGAAGCAAACGACTCGGCTCATGCCTCCTCCTGCACAGGCAGAATGCAACACGAATTTAAAGAAATCTGCGCTCATCAAAGGATGGAGAAGATTGGATCGGAATAAGCCAGTTAAACAGATTGAAAAACATGCCCAACTGAAAAAAATGATGTCATATAATCAGTGCCATACTGCGGAGACCAGGTATCCTTGCTTCGCACTGAGCTTTTGCAGGTTTTGTCAAATCCACTTTGCGGAAAAGGATCTAATGAGGCTGGTACACACAGGACACGACATGATGACGTTTCATTCTTCGCAAACATCGTCAGCCCCCGTGGCCCACATCATCCCCATCTCCCATATTCTCCCATCTCCTGGTGTTCGGATCTCGCTCTCCTCCCGAACGCCGGACCACGCTTTATCCTCAGCGTTCGCCTCGTCCAAACGGACCTGTTTCTGGCGCTGGAACTCAAAGCTCCGAAGACCTCGTTCTGCTCAGCGCAGTGTCACTGGCCACAACAGCAACATCCATCAACGGTGTTTCTTTTTCTCCGAAGCGTACGGGAGCTGGGCAGGCCGTAACATGATTAACATGGGTTCTTTGCAAGTTGCACAAGTCGCATCAGCTTCAAAAACCGTCCTATGCCATGACTGCCTGGATTTTGAATTTCTCCAAGGCACATCTCCTTGCCACTGTGAGGCAGGTGCACACGGCACCTTGCCATCCAACACCAGGGTGACCACGGTGCCGCGCAGCACGGCCAGCACTGAGAGCCTTGCATCGCGGCACACGGCAGCTGCCTGGCCCAACTGGCCCAATTCTCCATTGCCATGGCTCGACTGCCACAGCCATGAAAGCCATGAATTAAATGCAGTGTGCAATTTTGTTCAAGTTTTTGATAGTTTTGAATTCTGGAAAATTTTGGAATGATGGGGGTTTTATCGCTTCACAAGCTCTCCCCTGAGCCTATCAGTTCCATCAGACCCTGGAGTGGTATAGTTATAGATGACTCGATTTGCAGGCTAATACTACTGTAATGTATTTGATGTGCCAGTGTTGCACTAAGTCACGAAGTCACTAAGGCGACACAAAGGAAGTCCACCAGTGATGGGTAAAATTTGTGAATCTGGAGGCTTGATGAGCTGAGGCGTAGATGAGTCCGGGACAAATCTGCAACGAATGCAACGTGGCTCTCGTACAAAGCGACAATCGGAGCCTCGACATCTTTCTCCCATGGCGCCGGACCGCCCCTGATATGTCCAGTCGGTTTGATACCGGACCTTGCTTTGTGCCACAGTGTGCACTCTGTGCTATGAATGCTATGTGTTGTGGTGGTGATGGCTCATGGTTTGCCAAGTCTGTCCAAATGAACATGTTTCTTTATGATGCTTGCCGTCGGTAAAACATTCATGAAATCAGCAGCGCAAGAGATTTTGAACACATACAAAAACACAATGCGGATCAAATGACGAGAAATCCGTGAAAAGTCAAAGTGATCATCACCCTACAGGCCCTACAGGTCTTCCGATCTGGCACCGCTTTTCACACAAAGGTCGTAGCCTCCAAGTCTGCCTCGCCGGCCTCGCCGGCCGCATCGGGCTCTTCATCGGGCTCTTCATCGATGTCGATGGTGCCGCTGGCAGCTGGAGCTGCACCAGCTGCACCGGCCCGACCACTGCGACCGCCATCGGCTCGGGTGATGATCACATCGGTGTTCTCCGTGGACGTGATCATCACCTCGGAGCTGGAACTCGACGTCTTCCGCTTGCGCTTCTTGCGGACTCCTGGAAAACGCAACGATGGTCAGAGCTTCACTAAATTCAGACAATTGTCCCCACTATCACAAGGATTTGTGCTGTCCACAACGAGAAATAGAAAGTCCGAATTGCAGTACATAAGTCATACTAGAACTCGTGGTTACGTCTCTGAAGACCGGGCTGTCGTGTTGGTTTCAAGTCGATCAGATTGATGCACTGTGCCCAGTCCTAAATCACGATTTCGTTGGTTCACCTCTTTCAAGGCAGCACGGACTTGTGCCATTTTCCGTTCTTTGTCATCTTCATTTTTCCGGGTGGACAATTTGTTGAGTTTGCTTTCAATCTCAGACTCCTGCCATCCGATGATATGGTCAGAAGTTCCAACATATCACAGAGCACACGCCCGTTGGAAACAAACGGAATCAACAATTACAAAGACTCCACGTAAACATTGGACTTTTGGCCTGTGACTCCTACGAAGAAACAGAATGCGGATGTGCACATTCGGGCCCCTCGCAGAACCTACAGTCTTGCGAAATTTAAAAAATGCGTACATGGAAAATGTTGTCTTGCTTTATGTTTCGCAATATCACATTGTGCCCCAAAGACTTGAAACATGAAAATGCGTTGAAACACCAGAAACATCAATCAAGAAACGGAGCACATTCTACCCACAACAACTGCACCGTCTGCCCTTTGTCCTTGTCCGTTTCCTTTTCTTTGTCCTTTTCTTGAATTTTTTTCCATGTTTCCAATCTCTTCCGCTGCTTCTCTTCCTCCTCGGCCGTCTTTGGACCTGTCGCAGGATCCACATTTCGTGCCGCCTCCTGCGCAATGGTCATGCCACTGCCACCAGAAGGCACAGGTTTGCGAGTGTTACCCACCTGAGCTGCGTATGGGAAGCAAAATGAAACAACCCGAGTCGACACCACTTTTGCTGAACCTTCAAACATGCCCTCTATACACACTGTGACAATTCAAGATGGCATTAATTCTTGGCAATTTGTGTCCTCTGTTTTTTTGGGATGAGAAACAATGATCAAACCAAAAATCTAAAACGGTCGAAACATGTTTTCTTAAGTTTCATGAGCAATAACCAAATTCACCTCAAACCACTTGACTAAATGATTGAATTGTCCCAAAATTTAGCCAAAACCAAAAAATCCAAAGAAAATCACATTACACACAATAAATACATGATATGTTTTGAATGTTCATTTCCACATCCTTGAAACATAATCTGCACCTTGCACTTGAATCAGATGGAACAGCGCAACAAAACCCATCCTCCATACGGTACATCATTTCATTGGAGCAGATTGTTTTCTACATATTCAAGTGGTTTGGTGATGAGGTGACATCACAACGTTCAAAAGAACATGAACATTTCCCGGTGTTGGTAACATTTGAAGGCCACAAAATTCGCTATGCCAAGTCACCGATTTTTTGTTCCATGCAAATTTCAAGCCTTCAGAAGCCATGTCTGCAAAGAAGCACTGCAACAAAGGCAACACCCCGCCGCAAATGCGTTCAATTCACCTTGTTCATTTTCTTGTAAATTTTCCGAAAGGAAGGTAAGGGAGCACACACATTCAAACATATTTGCCGTGGTCCAAACCCGTTGCCATTTTTTCACAAGGATATGTGAACAAATTATATATGTGATCGTTCGTTGCGCGCAAAACAAGCAGGAATTTACAGTAAATCATGTCATGAATAGTCTTGCTGTCCATGAAACCAACTGCACACAAATTGTCCGTAAGGCAAATGTGATGATCGTGTTGGATCGTAAGAATTAGCAATGAATGTGCCCCGCTACTGTTTGTGATTTGGTTATTTGATGCTCGTACGTCCGCCTGCACCACGCATCAGCTAGTCTCATTCCAACTAGGATACGTTATTTACATGTTTTTAGTCAGACCGTTTATTGTTCCAAAAATGCAAAAACAAGTGGGAACGTTATTTGAGCTGCACTTGCAATGTTCAAATCTCAGCGATCATCAAAATCCGCCCACACCGCTTTGGCGGTGAAGGCGTGCTTATTGGGGGGAAACAGCTACACTAAATGCTCAATCACATTTGTTAATATAACAGTCGCTATATCAGCTTTAGCTGGGGGGGGGGCCAAAAACGGTTTCGCACCGAGACCAGAATTAGGTGGTGTTTTCGACATTTTTCGAGGATTTTTGGGTGTCTGAGCGCAAGAGGGTATTGAAATGGAATTTTGGGTCATTTTGGTAGCTTTCCGGCAATGGAAAAACGGCCAAGTTCTACAAGGACTTCAATTTTCTAATTATTTTATATATATATATATTCCAACTAAAAAGTTTTTTAATAAAAAAACAATTTCATTCTTAATACCGACTTGGTTTCCGCTCTGAATTTCCAAACAATGTTTGGAGCACTCGGTCTTATTATTATTTCCTTTTTCGTTTGCTGGATATTATTTTGTCAAAGGTTTCAACCAACAGCTTTATTTGGTTGAATTTTCAGATGGACATCAAAACCCCGATTCGAAGCAGTAAATGAGGTCCCAAGAGAGTAGGGTATTGTTTGGGGACCTAATGATGAAACATGAAGGGTGTTTATCGTGTTGTGTTATATTTTTTTTTTTTGAGGGGATGTCCAACTGGATTGACTAAGTTTCCTTCAGGAAAGAGTCAATCATTCGAAGACGGAAACGCCGGCAATCGTGGTGAAAGCTATAGTCCCCAATTTTGGGGTGGTGAATCATTATTTTGCTATAGCGAATGCATGCCTCGATGAGGTCATATGGAGTCGGATGCATTTTGGATCGGATGTATCAATCTCCATGGAGGAGAAAACGGATGCGACGCAAGGTGCTGATGCTGAGCAGTGAAACGAAAGCTAATCCAAGATTTTCCTGGATGGGAGGAACGTGCCAGGAAGCTGATAATGAGAGTGTAGAACCAAACAATGTGATACCCCAACACGAAAAATAAATTAGGTGAGGGATGGGTGGGTTTTTTAAAGTTAAAACAGCATGAAAAACGCAAAACAAGATTGAAGTCCTTGAGCCAAAATGTTTCAGGGGAAACAAAGATCTGAAAGTACCCCGTAAAACATAAACGAAACAAGTATGTTAAACGTTCTACAAGGACTTCAATCTTCTAATTATTTTATATATATATATATATATTCCAGCTAAGCCTCACAAGCCGGAATTTTGGCAATTTTAACGAAATGGCTCGTTTTTTCAAGAGAGGCTAGAATTCCAACACCTGTCGTATTAGATGCAGAAATTCCGTAATAGGTCAGTTTGTTAGCCCTGCAGCCATTTGCACATTCTCAAAACAAGCCCTGGCACCTGTCATGCCGTGACTGACGATGTTTTTAGGTACTTCTGGCATGTTTATCGAAATTTTGGTCAGGGTTTGTCATTTGTGAACGCACTTGCACTTGATATGTTGACCTCCTGAAGCCGCAGCCGCAGCCTTTTCACCATCATGAACCGCAGGCATTTGGCTGAAGGCTTCTTGTGCTCTTGGTGTTGGGGCGCACTATGGCTCCCAAGGCAGTGCTCTTCACTGACTTGAAAGGGTTGTGCCACGCCTGGGACGCTGACCAGAATCTGCGGACCCGCATGCGGACGCACAAGCGTCTTTTGTTGGAGAAGCCCCCTGCTGGCCAAGAGCCAGAGCCGAGCACCAATTCTGTCAGCAAGACCGCAGAGAACGTGCGCTACAACGTGCTGGCGCTGCGGCCTTTGGTGAAGAGAATGTCTTCGGCTCGTTCGGCCACGGCGTGCATAGAGACCTTGACAGCAGAGGTCTTGGCTTTCCATGAGTCGCACGGCTTCAATCCCGGCATCAAGGTTGTCTCAGATGAAGCCTGGGGCCTGAGATACTTGATGGGGTGCTTGAAGAATGTCATGTGGAAGAAGAATCCTCCAAGAGAGACTTGGCCCCACATTGTTGTTTAAAGAGCCTGGTCTTGTTTTGTGCTTTCATGACTTGCCGCCACCGACCATCAGGATGAAGTCATGAAGTCCTTGCTTGTGGACTTCGGGGTGGACGTCGTGAATTGGAAAGGTGGCGCGCAGAGGAGTGCTCAGGAGGACTGCTGGGTCCAAAGGGTTGGTTATCTTAAAGTCAGGGTTCATGCCGTAGCCACCTTCTGTAAACCATGTTCAAAAACCCTGCGGCCATTTCTTTTAAGATCATGTGTTCCTCGAGTGATTGCATTTCTGAACTGCAGCCTTCTTCACCGCATTCCTTTTTGTTCACTTCGTGTCATGTGTTGACTGTAGCCGTCTTCACCGCAGCCTTTTTTCTTTAACTTCATGTCATGCGTTTATTGCAGCCGTCTTCACCGCAGCCATTTTTGTTCGCTTCATGTGCTGTGTTTACTGCAGCCATCTTCTCCGCAGCCAATTTTGTTCACTTCATGTCACGTGTTTTCTGCAGCCGTCTTCACCGCCGCCATTTTTTTTCACTTCATGTCACGTGTTTTCTGCAGCCGTCTTCACTGCAGCAATTTTGTTCACTTCATGTCACGCGTTTACTGCAGCCGACTTCACCGCAGCCATTTTTTTCACTTCATGTCACGTGTTTTCTGCAGCTGTCTTCACCGCTGCCTTTTTTCTTTAACTTCATGTCACGCGTTTACTGCAGCCGTCTTCACCGCAGCTATTTTTGTTCACTTCATGTCCTGTGTTTACTGCAGCCATCTTCTCCGCAGCCATTTTTGTTCACTTCATGTCATGCGTTTACTGCAGCCGTCTTCACCGCAGCCATTTTTTCACTTCATCTCACGTGTTTTCTGCAGCCGTCTTCACCACAGCCATTTTTATTTACTTCATGTCACGTGTTTTCTGCAGCCGTCTTCACCGCAGCCATTTTGTTCACTTCATGCCACGTGTTTTCGGCAACCGTTTTGTCAGCATTGGTTCTGACCATCTTTCTGCAGCCAGCTTCCACTGCAGCCATTTGTCCTTGTTGCTATTTTAGGCTTCTGCGGGTACGTATACACTTGTGGTGCCCAGCCATTTTTCTGTAGCCACTTTCTTTCGCAGCTGGTTTGTCGGCGTTGGCGCTAACCATATTTTTGCAGCTACCTTCCACTGCAGCCATGTCCTTGTTGCCATTTCAGGGTTCCTAGTGTTATACCTGTGGTCCGCAGCTTCTGCAGCAATTTTCTTTCGCAGCCATTTTGTCAGCGTTGGCGCTGACCGTCTTTCTGCAGCCACCTTCCCCTGCAGCCATTTATCATTGTTGCCATGTCAGGCTCGGTTTATAGAAGCCATTTTTCTACAGCCATTTCCTGCGCAGCAATTGCATGATTGGTAACTTTTGTTCTGCAGCCATTTTCCTTAGCAGCTGTTTGTCTTAATTTTCTTTTGTCGCCATTTTTCTGCATATTCTGCCCCGCAGATGTGCGTCAATTTCAAAATAAATCTTTGCGCAGCCATTTTTCCACAAGTTGTGATCGTAGCTACTTGAGGATATTTCTAAGTTCCTTATGTTCGTATCTTGCTTTTTCGCGGCCGTTTTCCTTCACAGCTGTAGGTTCATTTTCTATAGGTAACATGGTCCCTACTCTTCCTTCTGCTGCCATTTCTTCCTTCTGCTGCCATTTCTTGCCCGCAACTGTTTTCTGGTGAATAGTCAATGTTTCCGCAGCCATGTCTTTTCTGCAGCTGTTACCTTTTCAAAGTTGCCTTTCGCCAACCGTTTGTACACCATATCTTTATCTTTATTTTCATGGATTGTCACTCTGTCCCTGCAGGAGAGGCCCTCACCAAGTTCAGCGGGGGACTCTCCAAGCTCAGCTGTGGTGCCTGCAGCCCCGGAGGCACCAGGTGCGGCGCCTTCATCAAGTTCAGCGCTGCCTGCAGCCCCGGAAGCACCAGCTGCGGCCTCTTCCCCAAGCTCAGCTGTGGTGCTTGCAGCCCCAGAAGCACCAGCTGCGGCGCCCTCACCAAGTTCAGCGGCGGCCTCTTCCCGAAGCTCAGCTGTGGTGCTTGCAGCCACAGAAGCACCAGCTGCGGCAAGTTCAGCGGCGGCCTCTTCCCGAAGCTCAGCTGTGGTACCTGCAGCCCCGGAAGCACCAGCTGCGGCTCCCCCAGTGCTGGAGACGCCTGCTGTGACCCCTGCAGTCTTGGAGCCACCTGCAGCGGCCAGCGCACCTGCAGAGAAGTTGGACGCCTCACCTGGAGCCCGCCAGCCTGAGTTCCGCCAGTCCTTGCTGTCCTTGGCCATGCGTCGCCAGTTGATGCTCCGAATGTCGCTTGGCTTATTTCACACACAGTGCAATATGCTGATTGGGTTGTAAGCCAGCACATGATCATTAATGACTATATATACTGTGTACAATCTGTGTACTTAGAATGTGTCTACTTGATCGGCATATAATCCTGCATCACTTTCCATGAGCATCAGGCTGTCTTCCTTGAAGAAAGAGGAAGAGGTTTTAAGTGTGCAAGCTGAAGCTGCCGCCGTGGCTTTGTGTTCCGCGAGATCTTCTTCTTCCACCGGTTTCTAGGTGGCATTCTTGTTTTGCCGGTGTTTGAACGTGAAATTGGTTGAGATTCTACAGGTTACGACGCGTTTACCTGAGGTTCTCCTGCAGACATGTTGGAGACGCTGCCTTTGCCTGAAGCTGATGATCTGCTGGATGTTTCTTCCCTGCCGCCTCCCAGCGTTGCTCCTTGTCCTGTAATGGCAGAGGCAGAGGCATCCCTGGAAGCACCTGCTGCTGCGGAAGAGGAAGACTTCCGTCGGAAGCAGCTCGCTGTGCGGGCAGAAGAGAAGGAGGCTCAGCAAGCTGCACGGGAGGAAGCAAAGAACAACAAGGAGAAGCAGCAGAAGCCAAAGGCGAAAGCCAAGGGCCGACCACGAAAGACTGACGACAAGGCAGCCCCCAAGAGAGCACCCAAGCGCAAGAACACGGAGGAGGCTACGGAGGAGGCTGAAGTTCCTGCAGTTTCTGCGCCAGTTGAGGCGAAGCCCAAGAAGCAAAGGCGCACAGCTGCCAAGTCCAAAGCGAAGCCTGGGCAGTGGGAGTACCCTCCGGAGGTTGACAGGGACATGATCCCGGAGTTCCTCGAGGTCATGAAGCAGTTCAAGGACCAGTCCTACGACAAGTCTGAGATGACTCTCCACACGAAGTACCTCGACTTATTTTTGGGGGGGTGGGTGGATCCACGATCACATATTGTGTTGGCATGATATGTTATCATACATGGACAGTTATCCTGTGTATATATCTCAAAATCTTGTGATCAGACCATTATGACAAAGAAATTCCATGATACTTTATTGATATTTTCATGATCTGACCTTGCAGGAAGTTTGCAGATTGGATCACCATCCCTGTCTACTGGACCCGCCCTGCTGTCGGCATCAAGATTGCCACGGAGAGCGGTGTGACACAGCGGTACTACACCGGAAGGAAGTTCAACAGCATCGCCGTGAACATCCTGGTTGCCCACAAGATGGCAGAGAAGTTGGTGGCTCATCCGCGTGAGTGGGCCATGAGTAATGAAGCCAGCACGTGCTTCGACAATTTGCAGTTGACCGCTGCGGCTGCCCATGACAAGTTTGAAGATCTGAGGGCCCGGGGTCACTGAATAGGATCCTGTTGTTTTTGGTCATATTTTTGACCTTGACATGGTGAATGCTGATGGCTTACCAACAGCTGGGTGTCCCATGTAGTGAAAGCTTTTGAAGCGAGTTGAGGGTGTACAGTTTTATGGGGTATAGTCGTTTGCCAGTCAATCCACGCTGTCACTCGCGTTTCAAAGCAATCCCAGACCACCCTCAGCTGCGCTTTCGTCGCTTTGACCTGCTGTTCGCTGCAAACAATGCAAATTCAGCCGGGAAAAAAAAGGTTGCTTCCACACTGCTTCTGTCGCCGTTTTCCGCAGCCGTTTTCTGAACAAACATGAATGTGATTGAATGTGCTTGTGCAATTTCCCGCCATGCCAGGTCTTGACCCGACTGCGCTGGCTGCTATGGCTGGGTGGCATCTGCATGCCACCTTGCTTTGCGGAGCAGCGGGGCCACCTTTCGATTTGTTGGAGGCCTGGTCGCAGCTTTTTTTTAAGGCATTCACCTGGATTTGCTTGCCGCAGTTTGCAGTTGAAACTATGTTTGCCGTTGTCAGCCGTGAAACTATGTTTGCTTTGCCTCTTTTTGGCTCAATTTTATATCAAGGGATGATAAGGCCCCCTCGCTGAAGGGACTTGCGGCGCCCCTCCCGCTCATGCCGAATGGTGATGGTGATGGCGGAAGCTCGGACGATGGCCGCCATGGTCCGCCCAAGGGAAAAGGATGGTGTCTTGGTGGCATGTTTTGTTTAATTTCCATTAGTTGATAATATTATATGCTATATACAGCGTAATTTTATCCATTGTCCATGAGAATCATTTGCACCCAGCTAGCCTGCATCGTGGGTGACACTGAGGTCCAAAGGGCCGGACGCAAGGGATGGGAAAGGAAAAGATGGAAAAGGTAAAGAGAAGGGAGATGAAAAGGGGTGACTTGACTATAAGTTATTTTGCTTGTATGCGCTTGCATGCTTGATTATCTATTCATTTTTTCTCAAAGTGCGTGCGCCAGGAAGGGTGGAAGCCGGCCTCCAAGGGGGACTGCGTGCAGCAATGAGGCGCCAACGTCCAAGGGATCAATGAGGCCATCTTCTCCAGTCAGGCCACCTTCTGCGCCAATGGGGATGGGGCAGTGGGTCTACATGTGGCTGCCCTATGGGCCTGGCGGACTGCCATATGGACCCCCGCAGCCAGTACCTCCATTCCCACCACCGCACATGGTGCCTCCTATGATGATGATGCCCCCACCTCGCCCTGTGAAGAAGGCAAACAAAAAGGAAAAGAAGGATCCCAGTGAATCCTCCGAGGACTGCGCATCTAATGTTTTACATTATGTTGTTTCACACTAAATCCATGTCGAACATATATATATATATATTATAAATATATAATATATATTCCTGACCCTGCAGGATACCCACAGTGAACCTGGAGACGGTGGTGCAGGGGCCCCTGGCATCTTGGCTGCATTTTTTTACTTTTTCCGCGATGCTCTTGGTTGAACTGCTCATCATATTTTTCGGCTTTAAATCTCATTGATCATCAGGTGCTGGCCCTCCAAAACCGAAGCCCCGGCCAGATGCGGTGGAGAGAGCTTGCGCTGTCGCAGGCCTACCCGCTGGCTCCACGGCAGGAGCACCTGCTACAGTCCCAGGCTCCAAGGCTAGTGCACCAATGCCTAAGGCGTGCGGAACAAGTGCAGGGGGAGACCTCGCTACGTCTGGTGATGCTGTGATTGCTGCGCAACAAGCTGTGCGCCATGTGATGGAGTATATGCAGCAACAGATGGTCAGGGATCCAGCTGTGTGGGGTGCCTTGGCTGCATGCATTATGTTTCCTTAACATATGTGTGTTTTTGGTAATCGCCATTTTTGGGTATCAAGGGTCAAAATTGTTCAAGGGATACAATTTCGTTGTAACAATTTTTGGATTATCAATAATTGTGTTTTTCGTGAAACATTGGTTCTGTTATCAATGGGATACATTTTTTGCACTAACATACTTTTTTTAGTTGTAACCATTTTGGGTTCTTAGCATTTTGGGTTTCAGTCTTGTTTGCCATTCATTGTCAGGTGCTCTCCTCAGCTCGGCAAACCTTGCCTCTGGAACCCCCATCCCTCGGGAACTGCATCCAGGAGCCTCCGTGTCAGCACCGCCACCCGGTACTACTAATACCACCACCAGTGACGCCGAGCCAGCAGAAGATGCTGCCTTGAGAAGGAATGCCTCCGAGCCAGCCCCAGCTACCTCCCAGCTACCTCGGCCCGGCGGAGGCGACATGACAAGGACAAGGGCAAGAAGGAGGACCGTGACCGGTCACGGCGACGCCGGAGGGAGGAAGGATGACGCAAAAACCTGGCGAAGGGAACAAAGAATGCATTGGCGTGATGCACTGGCATGCCAGACATTCTGCTAGTGACACTCAAGACTCGCTTGTGTTAATTGACAATTCATAAAGGCATAATGCCCATGCCGTTCTGTGCAGGTGCTATGGTGAAGCGCGGCGCTCGCTCTTCTGGCCATCGCTTTGCACGTGGGGCCATCCAGAAGGAGAAGCGGCTTCAGCGCGAGCAAAGGGCTGCAGCCAGACCTCCTCGAAGTGCCCCTGGCAATCTGCTGTCTTGTCTGCCTTGCCATTGTTCAAACTGAAGCCTTTTCACATGGCCTTGCATGATGATTGCATTTCTGCAGCTGTTTCCAGAGGGTTTCATGATGATTGCATTTCCGCAGCTGTTTCCGCATCTGTTTCCGCAGCTGTTTCCCGGAGTTAGTGGCCATGGCTCGACACCATGCTGTTCCGAATGATGCTGCCTTAGATCGTTTGATCATTCGGCTGATGATGATGAAAGTTCCAAAGGCACCTTTTGTTTTTGGCAGCGCACGCAACTGGTAAACTACAGGAATAATTAGTGATCACTGTCGCATTCTGTCAGGCGTTCCTTTGGATGATCGTAATGACGTTCTATCATACCGGTATGCCCACAGTGGCACAGGCCTGGTATTTTGATACGTTTTTGCGATCACTTGAAATATTTTGTTAAAAATTTTGTTGTCGCTATCATGATGAATTTGCAGGCGTGGACATGTGTCGAGCTGTTCGCTGGCGATGGAAATGTCGGCAAATCCACCAAGTACGGCCTGGTGGCCACCGCTCAGCTCGACATCCGATATGGAGGCCAGGTGGCTCAACGCAACGCCTTCGATCTTGGACACGCTGCTGGTTTACCGTTGCTACCTCAGCATTTTTGAGCAGCACGTTTGGACGCCCAAAGTCACAAAAACATGCAATTAAGGCTGGCGATCTGGGTGCTTCTGAACACTTCGCCAGCAGGTTTTTTTTGTCTGCTCGCAGTGGTGTGTACGAGCTTCAGCGCGATGAACGTCGCAACTTCAAAGAGGTCTCCTTGTACTCCGTTTGGGGACACAACCCTGCCACATGTTCGAGCCACTTGTTCGCATTTTTTTTAGGAATTATTTTTTTCCATCCCATCATGTTAACTATACCCTTTCACATACTGAGGTTGGAAACCTGTTACTCTCCAGAAGCATTTTGCTATGCTATCTGGCCGTATGTCTCAACGGTGCACTGATGTTGGAGCAGCCATCTTCCTCACGGCTGCCGTGGTTTCCACGGTGGGAACAATTCGCCCAGATGGTAAAGCTTTGGCGAGTGGGCTGGTGGATGAAACATTATGGCTCACTCACACCGAAACTGGACGTAATCATCGTACATCTCGACTTTTTTGCTATCAGAAATAAGATGTATATAAGCTAGCACATTAGGACCAATAATATTCATGTGTTCATCTAAAACAGACCAATGCCCAGGAAGAGACATCGAGCATGGTCTAACAGTGAGGCCATTGGCCTGCTTGACCGCGGGTTCTTGCAGAAGAAGGCCCGCGAAAAATGCGTTGTCAAAACAGCGACCAAGAAGAAAACCAAGAGTGGGAAGGTTTCGTACTCCGGGACGAAATGGCTCAAAGGTACACAGTGCAGGCCTCAATTGCTTGGATTTGCATGTGTTTTTTTTGCATAGGGGTGGTTTGTTCAGCGATCCAAGAAATTCTCATTGTGTTGATCTGCAGGAGTTACCCGATAGCCTTCGGCCTCCGGGTGCAAAGGATATTGCCGAAGCTTCTCCAAAAAAAAGAGCACCGCCCCGAGACTAGCAACTGAGCCTGCGGAGGGCTGGAATGCACCTGCCATGTTCCAGCGCTTGAATTTTGAAGACAGCTGGGCGGAGGCTGAGCTGATGGAGTCTTGTATATATCTGCGGGGCTCGGTACACTTAAAAGTACCTGCAAGATGGAAACGGGCATTCCCGACTCATGTCTGAGGGGTCCTATAGATGTGACAGATGTTACTTTTTAAAAACAACATCCACCAATTACGCCCCGGATAAAATGCAGGAATTAGCCGGAGAAATTCCAAAATGACCCGGAGAAATTCAAAATACGTACCGGAGAAATTAGCAACCCGGACTAGAGGCGAGAATACCCGGAGAAGCGGCGAGAATACCCGGAGGAGATGCGAGAAATAGGAGCGAGAAAACCCGGAGAAGAGGCTAGTAATCCGTAATGGGGACATAAAAACCATATGGTCTGAAACGCCACTTTTGTATGCAAAATGTGGGTTTATGAAAGGGTTGAAGTTCTAGCACCCCAAAGATCCCCAAAGCGTTGTCTCTTCGCAACTTCCGTTTGTTTTTTGGCATCTGCAACTTAGTTGGCATGTTGTTTTCCTCACCTAGCCGTTTTTCCGCAGCCCTGTTTTTCAGTTTCAAAGTAGGAAGATGGAACCCAAACGCCTTCAGAGCAAGGCCTGGAGCTGCAGCGATCTAGTTCGTGCTGCGGCCACCGTGGTTGACATGTCTGCTCCTCCTGCCCAGATGGTGCTGCAAAAGGAGTTGCAGGAAGCTGCTGAGGAACTTCAAGGTAAGACTGCAAAGGAACTTCTGGCGATGTTGCAGGACTGCTGTTGCTCTTTCACGGTTCATTCGTGACTTCAAATTGTTTATTTTTTTTGGGTGGGGACACAGGAGAATGAAGCAGCCCTCGAGGGCCATGACTTGGGTGACCACGCTGTGTCCGTTGTCAGATCCTGAGCCTGCTAGCCATCTTGTTGCATTTTTGATCGGTCTACAAGCTACAAGTGTTACCTCGCAAGCCTCAGGCTGCATGGGTCCAAGCGAAGCTGGAGCCAACAGAGGACTGGGACTGGTAATGGTTCAATATGTTTTTTGCATCAATAATTTCATTTGTTTGTGGTGATCATAAATTATGTTTGCCAAGTTTTCCATTTTTTCACCTTCCTGATGTTGTTTTTGGTTGTGGTATGTTATGGAGATAGTATGATGTAAGCTGTTTATTTTAGCATCATGGTTAGTATGGTTTTTATTTGGGTCATAGATTATTTTGCCAAGTTTTATCATTTTTTCCACCTTCATTCCGCCCAGGATTCGGAGGCAACTAGCGCAAAGCCAGTGGTACCTGCAGTACCGTCGGTCCCAGTGGGAAACCTTGCGCCGCACAAACCGCAGGA